GCGAGTCTCTCTTTGGTACTTTGATTACCTTTCATGCTACTTAAAATGTGATCCGATCGATCCGGTCTCGGAAAGGAGCAACCATAAGCAATGGTATTTCTGTCGCCTTGTTCCTCAAACTAACATTCCATAGTGGAGGTCTCCTTTCATCTGCGTGTATTCCACTCTTTCGATCATTTCTTAATAATAAACGCGAAATGTTGAAACAGATATACGTTGGTAACGTTAAACAGTAAACAGTTTTGAAAGATTTGGTGACGGTAGATGATTAGGACAAAACAAAAGTAAGATAAAATACGCATAGCATACTACCACTTTTCGACTCCATGTCATTTTTTCCAAAAGTTCTTAACCGAATTTCACTACTGCTTCCAGCTATTCTGAAAGTTTTACTTTAGATTTAACGCTCAACATATGCTTTGGTATAAACATCCTTATTACCGGTGATAGCGGCTGTGGAAAGACATCTTTGCTTCGCGTTTTATGTGGATTTTGGAGCATCGAAAGCGGTAAATCTTAAGTTGTTTTGATGAGAAGTCTGAGGCCCCTAAAGCCTCGATATCTTTCTTACGTATTGCAAGGCGGATTATTTAGACTTGACGGTGTTTTCTTCGACAGCACCCAAAATGTCTTACGTGAACCGCATTACTGTAAGTTTTATAACTTTCAAAATTTTAGGAAAGCTCGTCCAGAAATATTCCAGTCAACTGCCCAAAGTACTGTTTGTGCCTCAGAAGCCGTATTTCCCCAGCGGGACTCTGCGGCAACAGATCGTCTATCCGTGCCGTGCCGTATACTGTACTAAAAGTATTCATCCGCATAAGCTTGTCAACGCCATTTCTCTAAAAGGCGACTTAGATATAAAGACGGACAACAAACTGCTTGACTATATGCAGATGTTGAAATTGGAGTACCTACTAGAGAGAACGAATGGCTTGGACGAACCAGTGAATTTTGACTGGTACGAGGACCCGCCTGAACCTGTTGGTGCATTGCGGGCTTTATTTTTGCCTGTTCGTTTTCACGGTCCGTTTTTTGTTGTTGTTGAAGGAACCACATGTTGACGCCAGGCGAAATGCAGCGACTGTCAATCATGCGAGTGTTGTTCCACAAGCCGAGCATCGTGTTTCTCGACGAAGCTACAAGTGCCGTAGGATTCGATCACGAGCAGACGATCTACGAAGTCCTTTCAAAAGTAAGTGTTGACAGTGTATTTATTTTTGAGATACGCGTTGATTCACGCTTGTCAAAGTCGGAAGGAAAGTTATCTGAGTGGTTCTGTATTAACTGTTAAGTTTTTCAGGGAATGTATGTATTTCCCGTTTTGTTATTCAGTATTGTCATTCTCGACTTTTCTCCGTAATAGTCCTGACCCTGTCAAAGATGAAGGTCTCATTCTAGATAAAGAACACAGTTTAAGATATCAGGCTAGATATATTGCTGACTTACAGTACGCAAATGAGATTTTCCTGGCGAGTAGTACGGGAAGCAGTCTCTGTCTCTTGACAGCTTCTGTATGCAACACAGCTGCGAAAGTCTGCTTCTTCTTTAACGTCCTGAATTAAAACGTTATTCGTAACTGATCCGGCACAGCTGATTTACAAGTAGAACAGTCAGGTTGATAAGTCAATGTATCTTGGCGCCATCATCTCCAGCGAAGGCATTATCTAGTCAGAGTTAAATAGGTGGATCGCCCTAACCTCCAGTGCCTTTGGAAACCTGTCTAATATTTGGGCTGAGAAAGGAGTTACTGTTCCCACGAAAATCTGCCGGATGCTTGCCTATGTCAGGTAAGTATTGTTGTACGGTATGGAGACAGTTGTTCTGACGAAGGAGGAATAACGATGGTTGAATTACGTACAGCAGCCATGACGTAGACGTACTATTCGTAGGACCACCTAGGAATGACTCTGTTCTGTTCCGATCACAGATGACCTTAACGGATGTGAGGGTGGTTTATACTATTAAATATACTGGTTGAGCAAACATCATTTACTCCAGCTCGCTCCTTCTCGTATGACAGCCGAACGTGGCAGATGTCGGCTAGGAGGTCAGCATGCATCATAGAGGAACAAGATTGAATCACGTGTGCTTTCTGAGAGGAATGTTTTTTCCGGTGCCTTATAGCAAAGATGTTAGAAGCTGCAGATACATCGGAACTCACAAACTAATGACGTTCTACTTATGCCCAATAGCGCAGGGTGATGATGTCAGCCACCACCATAACAAGCAAACAAACAGAACCTCATCTTTCGTTGTGTTGCCTCGAGGTGGAGTTAATCTCAGGCATGTGAAGAGGTTCAAATGTTTATGGGTAGCATTGATTTCTGATTGATTGATTTCACAATTTGATCACTAAAGCAGGCAGACATGTCCGTTGCAGGACGCAGTTAATGAAAAAAGCGGTAAAACGTTTTCCATAGTAAATACAACAAAATAAATGGTTGTCAGTTGTTGCCCAGATCAGTTCAGTTGGGTGATTGATCGAAAGATCGTTATGCAGTACATTTCTTTACAATTGAGGTGCAAAGTAACTGTGACACTATGAAATCTGGAGTGTCTCCATTCTTCAGTGGCAAAAGCCAAAGTCGAATCAGTCGTCCATGGTCACGCTGATTGAAATTATGGTTAAATGAATTGTTCACTGATAGAAGCAGAAGGCAGGGAATAGAGAATGCCACAGGTACGTGAATTAGCGTTCATAGCGCACTCTTAGCGCGGACAAAT